TAGTCTTTGCATAATAATAATATGTATCTATGCATATATAAAAATAAAAAAGTTGTTTTCTAAAGGATTCTTATATTTGTGCATTTGAGCAATTTTTTTTCTTATAAAATATGAAAACTTAATATATTCGTGACTTAAGATTTATTGGGTTGATGGAAATTTAATTTATTTTTGTAATAAAATATGAACGTTAAAAATATATATACATTTATATGTATAATTCTTGTTCACACACAAATGAAGTATTTGAATATTGCTACAAGCGACAAAAAATTAATTTATTTTTTTTTTTGGATACAGCTTTTTAATTTTATATAAGACATTTAAAAAAAATTTTTTTTTTGGACATACATGAGTATGTACGTACCCATACCGGTCCTGACTTATTTGTCGCCTTATACGGTTTTAAAAAAGAGCGCTCCCCGCTCCCACAATAAATTGCAGGTAATAAATAACTTTCGTGTAACTTTATCATGCCGAATGCAAGATTAGTCATAGAATTAAAGTCTGACATTAAACTTTCAGCTTTTTGTTTTGCAATGTTTGTGTATAGGAATATGTTATTATGTTAATTAAGCTGTAGATAAAAAGAAAAAAATTTTGGATAACACAATTGAAAAAATTTTATTTTTTGAAAAATAGTTATTTTTTTAAGTTTGCAGTGATTGTTTTACGGTGCCCATTTAAAATGCTTAATTTTCATGATAGACCCAATCCTGTATGCAACATATGTATGCACGTATTCCAATTACATACTTTTTATAAACACAAAATTAAGAACAAATATAACAATTTTTAAATTCAATTGCCTTGCCAATTAAAATATAACTTTGCAATGAGATAGGAAAAGAAAATTTCTATATTGAAAATTTATATTTAAATTAATTGACGGGTAACACCAAAAATAATAATAACAAAAACATTCTTCTTGAAAATTGAAAATAAATTTGAGAAAGAGATTCTAATTTTTAATATACTATAAGGAAAATAATAAGATGACAAAGAAAACAAGAATGTTAAATTTCAAAAGGATGTCGATAACAACATTGAAAATTGCAAAAAAAAAGGATTCTTATAAACAAACAGTGTTAGTGACATTTTGTGATGAAAATGTTCAATTAAATTTTATTTGTAGAAAAAAATTCGATCTGAAGAACAGATGGTACACATTATAAAATTGAAAAAAAATGACTGTGATATGACTTGAAGGAAAACTAATTTTTCATATACTTACTTATGAATATTTTTCTTTTGAAAATTTAAATTTTAAAATTTGTAAGAAATTTCCCAAAAAAAATATTGTAAAAAAAAAATTGGAGTAAGTAAATTTATAAAAAATTTATACTGGCATGAGAGATTTATAACGTATACGTATGTAGGTATGTAAAATATGCACACATTCGTGCATACATGTAAAACTTATGGAAGAAATTGTTTTTCTATGCTGTTATAAAATACTGGTACTAACTACCCATAATCTTGGATGAAATATTTTAACTATCACAATTTATAAAATTTTATAATGAGGGCTATTATTAGAATTGAATCACAAAGTATAAAAAACATGCTTTAATGATAAATTTTCAAATGAATTATCTCTACTTGTATTTCGATAACTCAAAAAGGAAGTTTTAATCAACATAAAAATTGTCAGGTACTCGTAATTTACGATCAACTTCTTACAAAATATAATAAAAATAATCTCAATTTTTTATTTATCTACAATATTCAAGAGTTTATAATAGATTTAGTAAATATTTTTCATTTTAATTTATTTTTAATTAATTAATTTTTGAAATAACCTTAATCTGACGAAAAGTATACATACATTTCAAGTTTTAAAATTTTTTTATATAAATTTCAATTTTTATAAGTACTTAGTTATGTATTTTAAAAATTTGCATTAGATTTCCGGGAAATCCTTAGGGACGTTTTAAAATAACATTGTAATCTAAAATGAATTTAACATACATACGAGCAGCCCCGGATTTATCATACATGCAAAGTATGCATTTGCAATGGGCGATAAAAAATAGGGGCGCCATTGAAAACTTAAAAAACCCCTAAATTTAAAAAAAAAAATTTTCACCCAAAAAAAAGGATTCCAAGTTTTTTTTTATACATCAATTTATAGCGAAATTAACTTAATAAAATCTACCTACATGCAAACATAATATTTTGTTCCTACACATATTTTCTATTTGCACCATATAACAAAAAATGTTCATAGAATTAAAATTACTCATACATTTCTTTACTCTACACTACTCTTTCATTCTTATTTTTTATGTACTGTATATGCCTATAAACACAGAATATTATTTCACACAGCTGTATACATTCAATCGTTCATATATATAAGTGAAATCGTCTCATACAATATACATACATATATAGAAGCAATGTACGCAACAAATAAAAATATTCAAAAATACACATGTACACATAATTTATATTGTTTAATATGAATAAGATCAACACTCATGCGTACACATATAATTATCTCATAAAGCAAAATTTTTATTTTGCTGAGATTGCTCCCTATCAACACTCGCTCGTACACATATAATTATATCACAAAGCAATGTTTTTATTATGCTTAGTGGCTACACTCGTTCGTACACATTATATTTAAATTGTTTCATACATGCAAAATTTTATTTTTGCTTAGTTGGCGCCCACTCACCAAACAAACAAACACATTATTATAATGTATTACTTTTCTGTATACTATTGCATTAGTAAACAACAAGAACAAAACAAAAAAAACACAAATTAAGAATGAGAATAGAAAGAAATTAGAAAAAGAGAATGAGAGCAATATTCTTAAATGATGGAAGGCATAGCTTGATATTGAGATTGTGTATACCAATATTTTGTTTTTGTTAAACAACAAAAAATTTTGAATGAATTTTAAAATTACATGATCGTTATGAATTTCTACTACTATGTTCTGCTTTCGTTTTTGAAAAAACTGTTATCAATCACAGAATTAAATTTTAATTGATAAAATCTACTACTTATATTGAATTGAAAAAATGTTGTTTAATAATCAAGTGAATGTTAAGAATTTTTATGCTGAATTGATGTAGTGTAAGTCATCCAAAAAATAAGAGTAAAATGAAATGGCGCATAATTTGCTTCACACATTTATCTCCAAAATTAAAACAGTTAAGCAAAACGACATTCTGAAATTTCAAAACCACGAGCCTATAAATACCAGTAAATGCATTTATTTTAATAAAATCTAAAAAATATAATGAACAGTATAAAAGCTTATAGCTATGTACATGAAAAGCTTAGTTTTTAAGTCACAAATTTTAGAACGAAACTTTGATTTTCCTTAAATTTTTGAATGCAAGTCGAAACTTTTTTTATACGCTGCTTCATTTCTCAGGCGATTTGTGAAATAAAAAGCCAAATTTTACGAATAAAAATAATTATAAAAATAAAAATAAAATTACGAATAAAAATAAAAATAATTTTTTACTTTTTTTCATATTCAAATAAGCTTTGAAAAAGTTCATTTGATATAATTTTCATAGAACCTTTTACAATAAGTTTCACTTACGTCATAAAGTAAATTTTTTGGTTGTTAAAATCAAAAAATCAAGTTTAAGTGATTGATATAAATCTGATCATAACTTCATAAAAAAACGTACAGTTAAATAAATTACCTTGTTTTTGAATTTATAAAACAAAAAATTGAAAGTTTAGTTCCAGACTTTAATTCTATAATTCAGCACAATAAGGTTACAAGAAACTGCTTTATGATGCACAATGTGCAATGCCTATTAAATTTTGTTCACAGTAATAAAATAGGTGAAAAGGTTGAAGGGGGGGGGGGGGGGGGGGGGCGCACTTTTCAGGAACCGCTTAGGGCGACGAATACATCAGAACCGCGCCTGCATACGAGTATTATCATACACATTTTCATACACTCATAAGATCTAATTCCATTCAAATATTTAACCTGTTCAAATTAAAATAAAATGTATATAATGTGTAACTACACAAGTACAGGTGTATGCAATTCAATAACATACATTGTATATGTAATTTGTATATCATAAGTAATCTCATATCCGTAAGCAAAATATATAAATATACAAATTAATGTAATCATGTATGTATATAAAATTATATATAAAATTATAACTTGAAATTTAAAATCATTGTCATACAGAAGATCCTTATATTTACAAAGTTGAATTTAGGATTGTTTCTTATTACTTATAAAGAATTTCAAATAATTAATTAATTTTAGTAACTAAAATCAACAGCAATAAAATCAGTCTTATGTTAAGCATACCCTTATAGTTTTACGAAATTATATAAAATAGATTATGTATAGTGTTTCTCAAATTTTTTATCTATTTTTATTTCTTTGTTGAATAAACATGAAATTTATGCTCTGTGCAAAAGGTATTTAAGTATATAAGAATTTATATAATTTTTTTAAGGTACTTATTCTTCAGCTTTGGTTTGAAATATTGTACTTATATATACCTATAAAAAGTATGTATATGTATATGTGTAATGACTCAGTCATATAGGCAAAAAGATATGCAAGTTGAAAATATTTAACAAAATTATCTTCAAAATGCAATCAACAAGAAAATTAATATTTATTTAAGAGATCAATTTGAATTCTAAATAAATAAATTAAAGGATATCAATATACAAGCTATTTTCAAAACAATAAATTAGAATTTTAACCAGGATGTTTAAATACAATGTGCATAAATGTATTAAAGATAATAGAGAATGTATGAGTGTATTACGTAGTCATGTTTTAATTTATAAAATCTGAAGATTTCACAAAATATTTTTATTGTTTTACAGATAATGCGATTTAAAATTATATTTAATTAAGTGAAGAAATTAATTTGACATTATTGAACCCAAATTATTTCACATGTATGTTTGGCAAATTGTAACAATTAAAATTAACGATTAAATAGTATTACGAAATATGAAATAATTTAAAATATATAAAAATAAATTCGAAAATTGAACTTTTTTTTTGAATTAAAATTTAAAGAAAAATGTTCAAAATAAATACGAAGTCAAAGAAAATATTAAAATAACTAAATTTGTTTTCAAACTTTTGCAAAGAAAAGCATTGAATAAATGTACTAAAATTAATTAAAATATTTAAAAATTAAAAGTGCAACAGTAAGAAAAATCAATAAAAAAAAAAGTCGCAAAAATGCGTATGTTTTCACCAATTGAAAAATCACAGAGTACATTGTACTCAAATAATTTATCTGAGTCAACAAAATCTATTGATGAAAGCTATGAAGATGATACTTGTAGTAATAATGATAGCATGGCAACCAATATCCACACATCATCTCGATCATCATACGTAACATTAACGGATGGTGGTGCTAGTAATGGTATAAGTGGTATTAGCCGAAATAGTAATATTAGCGGAAGCAGTCATGCTAGTGACAGTCTTGGAGAAGCAACCACCAGTAGTAGTGATAATAAACGTAAACGGGATACAATAACAAGTAGTGAAGGTTGCCGAGATCGTTTCTCATCAACATCGTCTTCTTCAACAAATTGTATATCAAGTACCAGAAATAGTAGTAGTTTATACAGTAGTGCTGGCAGTGGTAAATTAAATTTCATGAAACGTGGTATTAGCTGTTATAGTAGCAGTCGCGGAAGTAATAGTTTACCATATTCAAAATCAGATATTCGAAATAATGTTAGTAGTACAGTAAGTTACAATGGTACAACAGCTACTGAAGCAGATAACGAAAATGAAGAAAATACGGGCGATATTGAAGATGAAGATGAAGATGAAGGTGGAGAAGTTGAAATTGATTTTGATGATCGATCTGATTATGATTCAGATGATCTTTCATATACAGAATGTACTGGAGGAGATATTACGCTAGTTGAAGATCATAATATGTGCTTTAATCCAAAAAGCGAAGCTGAAATGATGTTCTTTCAAGTAGTTGAAATGTTACGCTATGAACAAGAGGTTTGCTTATTTTTTTAATTTTTACTTCTTTTTTCATTTTTACTGCCACGAAAATCTTTGTGTACGATGCAACGCATTACTAAACTATTAAGTTGCAATTTGAATAGTTTTCAAAAGTTCAATTTTTCGTAAAAACTTATTCCTTAAAAATTATTTAATTCAACGTTTACAATTAAATCAAAAGATATAAAAAATATTTCGATTTTATATGTCGTTAAACTTTATCGAAGGTGTACTCGACTAAAAAATAATTTATGATTTTCTTTATAAAAATAATTGAAAAGAATTTCAAAATTCTTTAGTATACTTCCTATGTCCACATACTGTGCGCTTTCTCAATTTTTCTAAATTATTACATTAGCCATTCAACACCTACTCTCTTAAGTTTTATTAGAAGAAAATGTTTACTTATTATTCATTTTCAAAATAAACAATAGTATTTCTATTTTAAGGCTAAATGTAAAATCTACGGGAAAGAAAATTAAGCTCTTCAACCCTGCTTCGCTCAACAAAGTTTTAGAAAAAAAATATTTTTGCTATTTTATTTAGATATTTATTTCATAAAGATAAGTTATTATATGTACTTATATGATTACGAAACGTAAGTTATTAGAGTTTCCGCGTTTTAAGTTAAATTTATAGAAATGTTGCGTCTTTAATTAACTGTTTAATCAAGTAAAATAGTAAAAAGGCGTGAGTAAGAACTAAAATATTCAATTAGTGTTTATATTTATAGTCCAACATTTATAAGCACTATAGGCAAGACTTTTTGATTTTCCTTATAATAATTAAAAATTTTATTCTTTACTCTTAATCTAAAAAAATTTAAGCGAAATTTTATTGCCAAGATCAACAGAATCTCGTATAAAGTTGCCTTTTTAGTTTCTGTAGTTTAAATATCTTAATTTTTCTGCTGCTTTTAAAATTGCACAATACTAGTCTGATACAAATATCGTTACATTAATTACTACTTATTCCTTAAATTATTCTTAGAGATATTAAAAATCTACTATTACTACTTATTCCTTAAATGTCAACGTAGAGATATTAAAAATCGAATAATATCCTTGCTAAATTCCTTGTTATACCTATGCATTTGTTGAATTTCTTCTAACAAGAGTTTTATAATTCTACATACACTTTATCTATTTTCTTATGATTTCTACATTATGGTTTACCCAGTTCCCACATTTTTTCAAAGCAGCAACCCTTTTGAATACAACTCTATCAGCATATGCTGTAAATTCATCAAGAAATAAGTAAAATTTCATAAACTTATCATATTTTTATTTAACACAAACAACTTGAATATAGTAAATCGGAGATGAAAAATAAATTAAATTAATTCATAAATGACTAAACTGTATAAAAACAAAAATTATAATAAACTAAAGATTATACATATATACTTACTCCCAAGAATGAAATCCTATAAAAGATTAAAAAAAAAAAACAAAAAATTCAAACAGCCAAGCAAATTTAGAAATGAACAGACAACAAACAATAACAACTAGAAATCAAAACAAATTTTCATTACAATGGTCTTTGATGAATGGAATTTTAATGGATTTTCGAATTTCGAAATAAGACACGCAACATGTGCTCCGATTTCTTGAGGTTTCTGTTTGATTTTTTGTGATAAAAAGAAGCAGAATAAATTTGAAATAAGAAAATTTGCTGATGATTTTTCTATATAAAGAGCCATGTTTTATTTTTTCTAAATAGGGAAAAAAATGAAAACAATAATATTATAACATGACGAAACCATTTTTTATGAAGTTCTAAATTTAAAACAAGTAAAAACGTTTCAGTCGGTATAAACCGATTGAATTATACCCTGCACCTTTCGTTATTGTGTAGCAATTACTTGAACCTCTAAAATCATTCTATAGAAACTTCACGGACATGTCTGATCTATAATTGGACATCCGACTGCCAAGTTTCTTGAATCTGACCTTATAATTTTTCCAAATATTTAAAATTAGCTTTTGGAGTTGTATGGTAAGTACCTGAACCTGCCAAGCAATTCCACCAAAACTTCACAAATATATCAGATCTATAATCGGACTCACAACTGCCAAGTTTCATGAATCTGACTTTATTATTTTTTTAAATATTAAGAATAAGCTTTTAAACTTGTATGGGATCTACTCGAACCTGTTAAGCAATTCCACCAAAACTTCAGAAATATATGTGACCTATAACTCGACATACAACTGCCAAGTTTCATGAATCTGACTTTATTATTTTTCCAAATATGTAAAATAAGCTTTTGGAGTTGTATGGCAAGTACCCGAACCTGTCAAGCAATTCCATCAAAACTTCACAAATATATTTGATCTATAATCGGACACACAACTGCCAAGTTTCATGAATCTGACTTTATTATTTTTCCAAATATTAAGAATAAGCTTTTAGACTTGCATGGGAGCTACTCGAACCTGTCAAGCAATCGCACCAAAACTTTAGAAATATGTCTGACCTATAATTGGACACACGACTGCCAAGTCTCATGACTTTGACTTTATTATTTTTCCAAATATTTAAAATAAGCTTTTAGACTTGTATGGGAGCTACTCGAACCTGTCGGGCAATTCCACCAAAACTTCAGAAATATATTTGAGCCATAATTGGACACATGATTGCCAAGTTTCATGAATCTGACGTTATTATTTTTCCAAATATTTAAAATTAGCTTCTGGAGTTGTATGGCAGGTACCCGAACCTGTAAAGCAATTCCTCTAAAACTTCAGAAGTATATTTGACCTATAATTGGACACATGACTGCCAAGTTTCATGAATCTGACTTTATTATTTTGCCGAATATAAAAAATTTGCTGTTGGAGTTGTATGGCAGCCACCCGAACCGGTGCAGCTATCCCATTATAATTTTTAGAGCATGTGTAGAATATAATTGGACACATGTATACAAAATTTTATATTTATAGCTTTATTAGTTTTTGAAATATTTAAAATAAACTCTTTGAGTTGTATGGCAGCTACCCGAACCCGTTGTCCGAATTAGTCCAATAACAATAGGGCTCGTCCTTGGCACAAAAGAAAAAACTTGTGAAAGTTTGGTGTCGATTGCATTATTCGTTTTTGAGTTATCGTGCGATCGGACGGACGGACGGACGGACGGACGGACGGACGGACGGACGGACGGACGGACGGACGGACGGACAGACGGACATGTCTAAATCGACGCAGAATTTTACGCTGAGCAAGAATATATATATATGTCCATACCGCAGATGACTCATTCAAGTAGTTACAAACTCCATACCAAAGTTAATATACCCTTCACGAAGTGCAGGGTATAAAAAATATCTGAAGTTTTAATGTTTTACATATGAAAATTGCTTAAATAACGAAATTTGTGTACATAATTTTATTTTTGTTATGTTAAACAAATTTACTACTTATACTAATAAAAAATTTCAATTTTTATTTATTTTCAGGTAAGTCAATTTAATCGTTTCTGTGCGAAAATAATAATTTTTCAAATATTATAAGTATTTAGTATGGTAAGTTTTCTTAGATTTAACCAAAATTAGTAAAAATGAACGTCAAATTCAAATAGTCAAAGAGTTATTAAAAAGGGAACCTTAGTAGACAAGGTAAAACTATATCTATAAACTAAACGTGTGGGTTCCGAAGTAAACCTGGAAATTACTTTGTTTTTAAGTGTTATTATAAATTTAGGGAGCCGAAGAAACTTTGTAAATAATAAAAAAATATGTATATTGTTTTAGGCAAAGCCTATATTTGCTCATTTTAAATAAGACTTACTCCCATACAGAAATGAAATTACTTATCGATTTACGTGAAACAATATTACTAAAAAATTTTTATTTATCTTTACTTTATAAACAAAAACAACATTTTTCTAATTAAGTTGCATAACGTTTCAATTTAGAAATTCTTATTCAACTGATAATGTCAATATGAAAAATGAATTAAAGATTCTGCAGCTATAACGAAAAATAATTTCTATAAATTTTAATATGATGCATATACATACATACATAATATACATATAGATAATTAATTATATTTATTAATTGGTTATTTTTAAGTAACTCTGAATTTTATATACTGTAGGTATTGCTGTTTTAAGCAAAAATTACATTTTTAATAATAACGCTTTATACAAACGAAATGTTTTTCAATTAGTTACATATGTATATCTGCACATATATAATTTATGTATATATTATAATATCTAGTAAATTTTTATAAATCATAATAAATTTAGACAACCTGCTTCAATATTATAGAGACATTGAACTTATTATTATTTATTTGAAACTTTTCATACCTATGGATTAGTAGACTATATTATTTTCTCGAATATTTTTCTTTTTGAAATCCAAAAAAAAAAAACATTAATCATTCACACGCATTTTATTTTATTTTGAGTTTGCATAACTCCCACACAAATTGGTAGTACTTATGTGTATGCCATTTAATTTAATAACAAACAACATCACATTCTCGCCATTCCCTAGCCTATTTTTTTCCATAATAAAACTTAATTTCCCACTTGAATTGCTCTTAATTTCTATTTTCTGCTTTTATTATTAAATCTACAATATTCTCAATAGCTGGTGCTATTGTGCTATCATGTATTATTTATTTATACATTTTGTATTATTGTACAGAGAGAAGAAGATTATTGTTTTGTTTGTGTACATACTTATGTATAAAAAAAAAATTTTTTATACTACTAATTTGCCATTTTATTTCTGTCTTTCTCTTCCTAATTCTTTTCTATCTCTTTCTTTGCACAATCTATTTTTTCTTTCGCTTTTTTGTTTTTGTATTCATTGACAGATCAATTAAAATTGATTTATGTCTTTTGAGTAACATTGTAATCGCTTGTATTATAAATAAATATAAAAACCTACTTCAAATTCAAATAAATAAAAGAGAAAAGAAAGAAAATTTTAAGAGATTATTATCTTCAATATTCTGTAACATTTTTACAAAATAAAATA